GACAGATTAGGAAAGAAAGTTAAAAAGAAAAAGCAACGTTACATAGATGATTTTCAATTTGCTCCGTTTTACCTCTTACTATTCGACTTTTTAATTAAAACCATAAACGGTTTCCGAAGGACTGATCTTTTCTTCTTCATCTAGCCTTCAAACTCCACCTAAAAAACAAATACAAATTAGTAGACGGTTCTGAAAGAACAAATAGCAAAGGTAAATCAAAGAAAAAAGGAAATATATCAAATTCATAGATAGATAGATAGTGGTTTGATTGTAGAAACCTGAGAGCAGAATTAACAATGTTACATGGACAGACAGGAGGCTGGGGTTCCATTACATACACTGGGGGTGTTCTGAGCAAAAGAGAGCATCCATCCACCCTTCTCATACGGTTCCAGCCCCACAGGGTGAAAATTGGGGCACGCAAATACCTGGGCAGCTGCATGCTTCGGGGTATTTTCTGAAGTTCCAACGAAATCATCGACCCTTTGAACAATTCTGTCGGGTCACTTTTATCCTTGTATCTGCCTCCCCCCTCCAAATATTCTCCACGCGATTATAGAAATAGACAATGTAACACTTGATTCGATTGTCATTACTAAACGATTAGAAACGGCAAGGATGACATTCTATTGGCTGGATTTCCACAAATTTTCTCAACTCCAAATTGTCAGGAAAGTAACTAAAAAATAAAAATATTTATTCTTGCAAAATTAGATTGACGTATCTTTATTATTAATTAATGAAAGTTTGAATATCCAAGAAATATAGACATGAAGAGATGAGTCTGTGTTTATATGAACAAATAAACACAGCGTTTTTAGAAGTGGGACATGTAGACAGATAGGAATTTGAAATCCATAGGTGAAATCCAGTGTGAAAACTCAGGCTCAAACATGATGAAATCATATTTACACTGTTCGGCTGTAATGTCAGATTGAAGTTTCCTCTCTTCAGAAAATGATCTAAAAATTGTAAGAGAAAACACGTGTATTCTCTACATTTTTTTATATATTATGTAACATCAATTTATTGATGATTTTTGCAAAAAAATTGAGATATTAAATTAATATTATAATAATTGTGCCATTAGGAAATTTTCACCTGCGCTATATATGTGAAATATTTATAATTTCTCTCCTGGATACAGAAATTAATTGTCTAATTTACGTTAAATGAAAATTATTCATGTTTATTCATTTGATTTACATTGAATGTAGTAAGAGGATCAATTGGTTATTTCTGATATGAATGTCTTTGAGCTTTATCCATGAAACATAGTGTATTCGTATACTCTCGTGTAATATTGATTCGTTAGAGACGAGGTCGCAGGTGAACCTTCCCACGATCGTTGGCCGGCACTGAGGCAAACGTCAGGGATTTGTCTGGAGATAGTTATGTCTCCACAGGCGAGTAAATATGTTCTCCCTTTTTCCTTCAAAAGAAAACAAGAAATTCTTCATCTTAAATTCAAATTTTCTTCAAATCAAAAAAAATGAGTCGATTTATAGATATAGATATTCCTAAAAAATAATTCATTTACTTAATAAAATGAATAAAATGTAATGTTTATTGGATTCTTAGTTAAATCTTTTTAAACTAAATACATTAATAATTTTCAAATAGATAATTCCAACAAACAGATCAGAGATTTATTTATTAAATAATTAAATGTACTGATAATTTTAATAATCATATGATCACAGATTCCTTTGTTTTTCATTAATTTGTATATTTAAGCTTTCCTCAATTTCAGGTTTGCATAAAAAAGAACTAAAGTCTTAGTAAATTATTCTTCCTTTCCTTAAAGTAAATTATTATCCTTTGTTTTTCATTAATTTATATATTTAAGCTTTCCTCAATTTCAGGTCTGCATAAAAAAGAAGTAGTAAATTATTCAATTAAAAAATTAAACATTAATACCTAAAATTAAAGGTAGAGAAAGAAAAATTGTATAAATGTACCTTTTTCAAATAAATAAATTCCTATTAAGAAACATAAAGAAATCTTCTCTCTCAACTCCGTTTTAAATGAAGGAACAGGATTCGGAAACGGAAAATGCTGTCGTCGCGCGTTTACTCTTCTTTTATTACATGCTTCCGTATGCACAGTTACATTACAAAATCGTATCGCAAATTGATTTACATCCCTGGATTCGGAACCGAGTCACGCGACTCCGTGACGACGTTTCTGAAAATGCACCATGTACCAAAGACAAACGATACTTCCTGGTTTCCTTCATTGTTAAATAATAATAAAAAAAAAAAAAGACAGAAAGAAAAAAAGGCAGGTTCAAGTGCACGATTATTCAGCATTGATGTCAAAAGCGTCGTCTTTATTCAGGGTAACTTTTTTTCTCAACTCTCGTTCATCCCTCGCGCCGGAAGATGGCCTTTGATCCTCGAGACTCGACAATATGTATAATCTTAGCTGATGTAAATATAAAAGTGAAACTTTCTAGGCATCCAATGCGAGGCAAAGATCCTAAACCAGCGGCGCTTGATCCTCCTGAATTTAAGCCACTGGCTCTTTTTAGCTTTCTTGTACTCTTCACAGTGTTAGCATACTTTCTCTACAAGTTCAAAACAAATAAGATAAATGAATTTTATAGCTTTCACTACAGCATACTTATAGATTATTCTCTTGAGAGTATATTAAATAAAATTCAGATTTGTTCCTTCAAAATGTTCCCCTCAATGATACTTTTGAACATTTGGAACTGCTTACATCTTGATCGCAGGAGACAATGTGATTCCTTAGAATGTAGATTCATAGATCTGGAATCAAGAAAAATTCGAGAAAGAGATCTTAGTTTGATTAGTTTACAAAGTGACAACAGACTGTGTTAAACTCAGAATTCACCAAAGGGATGAACGAGATAGCGGTAAATCGTTACATGAAACGCGTTAAAAAACAATCAGCCTTTTTTCACGTTAGAAAATTTCATTTTTTCCCCCTCTGTGTGTGTGTGGAAACACATATGGCATGCTCCTTGCCTTAACGTCCTTACACGGGTACAATAATAGACGTGGGTGGTAGAGGACAATTGAAAGGTAGCTAGCCGCGGAGCAACCCCGGATTTTTAGCTGCTCGTGTTATGCTCTCGCTTGAAAATATACAAAAGATTACCGGAGGACGCGGCAACCTTTGAACTGTCTTTGTCCCTTTTTTTTTTTTTCTTATTATCTTTTTACATAGAGATAGCACTTTCTACAAGATTGTGAGCTGTCCCAAGAACGTGTGGCCACGTTTGATCCTTCACAGTTTTTTTTCTTTTATACAATATCTAGCATATAATCTTACACATAGTCTTATACATTTAACTGGCACACGTCTCTTGGAAAAACTAACAAGTGCATCGCAATAGATAAGTGTTTGTTTCCCTTCCATTTTTTTTTTCAATCTGTTCTTTCTCTTTCTCTCTCTTACACACACACTTTCTTTCTCTCTCATTCTTCCTTTCATCATTCCTTTCAAGTAGAATTATTTTACAATGTGAGTTGCTTGTTCCTGTTCGCTTGTCCAGAGATTAGGAGGGATATTAACTAACTCTCTCGTAGAAAAATGAAAACACGCTTCACAAACGGCGCCAAGATTGGTTCACTTGCACACTTCTTACTTATTTATTCCTTTTTTTCTTTATTCTTTTCTAATTGTTCGATTGGTTATTTGGTGGCTCTTAGCGAAGAGATCTCGAGTATCAAAATGCTACAGTACACGAACTGTGCCAATATTTCGACCAATCAAAGCATTGCTACCGCCTGGACGTTGTGGTTTCATGATTTACAATTTGCCTGAATGTCTCTCCTTACACCGATTTCTCGACAAACGAAAGTATCTTGGAGTAGGAACATAGTGAGCAGATTTAGGTCCTGCTGTAACTAATTGTTCAGTCTCTTTAATTGTTCTGTCCGCGTTTATCTGAACCCACTTTAATCAGCTAAATTAATAATCAACAACATAAAAGCCTAGAACCTGCTCATTACTTTCTTACTCCTATTCCAGTGCGCTCGAATAATTTGCGATTCATCGTTTGAATAAATAGATTTCTTTTTTTCTTTACTCGTTTCTTTCTCGCTGATATTTGCTTCCCTTTTGAGAACAATTCGTTTGTTTGGAAATCATGAGCATACTCCATGATACCAACAAATCTAACGACGCATCTAGCCTAAACGCGTACATAAGTATATATATGTACCAAATATTTAAGTTACAATTAAACTACAAGCGAATAGAATCCTAATGAACAGGGCCACGTTGAGTTTATACAAAATACATAGAACAAACGTCCCTGCGTGAAGTAACACTTTCATCTTTTGTTCATCTCATTCTGTATATAAATTCAACGTGGCCCGAAATTGGAGAACACTTTGGTCGAAAAAAAAAAAAAAAAAAAAAAAAA